AAAGTCTCAAGTAAACATGGGATAAAATCAGCTCAGCAAAGAGATCTAGCTCGGGTACCTGAGTGTATTTTACCTCCATATAAACACCCCATTAGAAGTTAAAATTTCTAGGGATAAAACCTTCAAAACTTTATTGTTGACAACAATTTCAGGTAGACAGTATCCAGGAAAATTGCCTTTTCATATTGTAAGGCCAACATTGTGTACATAATTTCAGTAATAAATAAAATGAACAACTTTACCAATGACAAGTGAGAGTCTTTATGGATATAGTGACAGTCTTTGCAATTTCACATCATGATGAGCCAAAAAACCCAAAAGTTGATGCAATAAAGAATAATAGATTAATTTCTAAGTATTTACAAACATGTAGCAGTACCTTTTGCATTTATATTGTGGAAAAATATCTATATTTTTATTTTATTTCTGTATATTTTTCTCAGAAGAATGATAACAAACTGCGTAATACCGCGTGCAACCCCCTGCTAAGAGACTTGGGCTAATACAATAACTGTGGCAATCGATACACCAGGCTCCAGCCGGAAATCTTAGTTAAAGATAAAGAGCAAAGCCCAGCAAATAACTTTAAAACCAAACATAATAAAAGTAAAAATTTAATTACCTAACGTTTCGTTGTTTACAATACAACATCTTCAGAGCAATCTAAATGAATTTACAGGGTATGGTATATATATTTACAAAATAATGGTTTACTATTACAAAAACGGTTACATAATTTCTTTCAAATTACAACTGTAACATATCAAAATCTAAGTTAGTCCTTTCTCTATTTAATGCTGTTTAAGTTATTTCTGTTTGATAGCTTTACTTGTTTAGAAGTTATTATAAAGTTTATAATAAATATATATATATATATATATATATATATATATATATATATATATATATATATATATATATATATATATATATATATATATATATATATATATATATATATATATATATATATATATATATATTATATATATGTATATATATATATATGTATATATATATATATATTATATGTATATTATATATAATATATTATATATATATATATATATATATTATATATATATATATATATATACCGGGTGGCCCAAAAAAAAGTACTCCTGTTTGATTCGTAATAACTTCTAAACAAGTAAAGTTTTTAAAGAGAAATAACTTGCATTAAATAGAGGAAGGACTAACTTAGATTTTGATATATTACAGTTGTATTTAACTTAAAAATTCACGGATATATTAATGTTAAAAATGGGGAGCATATTTTTGAATGTGTCTAAAATTAGCGAAAATCGGCATATCAAATATTAACTCCAGCGTTTGTTTGCTTAATGACATATTAGGCTAACTTGTATTTCAGCGAATTATCGTTAAGGTGTGTAAGGGATATGGCGTAGATTTAGACATCTTACATGTAAGTCTTAGCTCATTGTTTCCTGAAATATGAACGTTCGAAATTATGCAAGTATTTAATATTAGGTCTTTGCAAACTTAAATGTACATGAAAGACTGACCATGGAAGGCAGGCGCTTAAATTTTTCGTATTCTTAAATAGCCTAATTTTTTATGTTTTTAATGGGTTCAAACAGACTGAGTAGATTATTTCTCGGTTAGAGCAGGATGAATATTCTTTATTGAAGGAAATAATATTGCTTTTTGCAAATACACATCACCGTATCAACGCTACTATTTTGTTACGTTTTGTTCCAAAAATGTTGCATGTCTCTGGGGAGTTGCTTAATTGTTATATCTTATGGAGTTGTATGGTTTGATTGTGTTTCATATAATTCTCAGTTTACTCCATGAACTTGCCAAGATTAAGAAACGGCAAAAGAGTTTGGGTGTTCTTAACAAGATTTCAGAACGTTGCAGAAGTTAGAAGAGCTTCACAATTCCGGTGTGACAGCATGCCCTAATTCAGAACTACGAACGATCCAATGACGATCCTTCGCGATGCAGTGGTCTCATGAAATAAGGAAACGTATTCGTGCTAGGAACACACGCGAATTTCGGACGAATGAATCTTGCTTGTATTTTGTAGATATAATAATACTTTGTTTCATAATAAACAATTTGTCAAGTGTCATTTATTTACTGGTAATAGTGCATGTTTCAGTCGGGCAAATTTTGATTAATATTTGATACGCCGATTTTTGCATATTTCAGACACATCCAGAAATATCCTCCCGAATTTAAAGATTAATATCTCCGTGAATTTTTAAGTGAAATACAACTGTAATATATCAAAGTCTAAGTTAGTCCTTCCTCTATTTGATGCAAGTTATTTCTCTTTAAAAGCTATACTTGTTTAGATGTTATTACGAATCAAACAGGAGTACTTTTTTTTGGGCCACCCGGTACATAGGAATGACAGAAAACGAATTCAAAACGCGGTACCGAAACCACAAATCATCCTTCAACAATGTTGAGCACGCTGGAAGTACAATGCTCTCGAAGTTCATCTGGGAATTAAAGGAATCCGACACAGCTTACGCAATCGAGTGGAAAATCCTTAAGCGTGCAAATGCTTATAGGAGTGGAGGAAAGATATGTAACTTGTGCCTATCAGAGAAAATCTGCATTCAAACAATCACTACTGAATAAAAGATCAGAATTAATAGCTAAGTGTTGTCACGAAAGGAAATTTTACGCTTATAATTACAATCCACCGTAAAAGCACTTTAGTCTGATGATCGCCTTTGTGCGTGAAACTCGAGTAACTTTTATCGTAAATAGGTTTAGGTTTTATTAAATTATCTTCAGATATCATGTCTTAGTCTACACCAATAATAGTTTTGCTCTGCAAAATCTTACCTGCATTGAGCACTCTTCAGATACGTGTCAGCATCGACAAACAAGATATATATATATATATATATATATATATATATATATATATATATATATATATATATATATATATATCTTTAACCCAATGAGTTATAAATCACTTATATTCATATTATGCATAATTAGCAAAATTGGGAGGGTATAAATTGGGTTCGCCTGTAAAGTAGGATTATATTTGATGAAGACAATAAAGTCGAAACGTTACGTTATGTGTTGAGTTGATTAATTTATATATATATATATATATATATATATATATATATATATATATATATACGCCGCTTTCATTTTTGGCAAAAATTTCCCACTTACCACTATGTTCTGTATGTGGACAGGTGCCCCAATATATTTAATTCTTTTTCTACACCCCCCACAAGATTTCAAAAAAGCAAGTACTCCCCACCCATAGGACAAGATGAACTTTACATGCCCCCCCCCTCTCAATTTTTCCCACCCCATCCTAGGGTATAAATAATGAACAGTCCCTTATCACTGTAGTATCCTATTGGCTTGTTGCAAGGGTTATCAAATAATAAAATTTGGATGTATTTACACATTACCCTGAGAAAATTAGTACTGTACCGGTACTGATGATCAACAACAGCTTGAAGAACAATAGAATAAAATCCTTTGCGATTGTAGTAATCAGGTGAAGATTCGGAAGGTGCTACAATTGGAATATGGGTGCCATCAATGGCGCCAGCGCATTGAGGGAAGCCCCAGGTCGTGAGAAAACCATCAACGACATTGAGCAGTTTCTCGTCTGATGGCCATTTGATCACTTGAGGCAGTAGTATTTCAACAACAGCTTGGCAAACTTCATTAATAATTTCACAGGCGGTGCTCTTTCCCACACCAAAACGCCAGGCTAGAGACCTCAAATTTTCATTAGTAGCCAAATGCCAAAAACAAATTGCTGCTCGTTTCTCCACTGGTATAGCTTTTCTGAAGGTTGTATCCTATCGCAAAAGATAAGCATTAATCTTCTTGCAAAGAAAATCGAATGTTCCCTTAGACATTCGGAAGTTTTCCAACCAGAGGCTATCGTCGTTCCACATGACAACTGTTTCCTCCCAAAACAACCCTGTGCCTTTGCTTGCCTGCACCCAGAAACGTCTTTCAGATGACAATCTGTTTCCTAATGCGCCAATACACCAAAAATAAAATGTCCTGTGCTTTTTTTTGTTTCGCTGATTCATGTAATGTTTCATCAAATTTACCCGGCGCATCCGTATCTTTTTCTGGTAATCAGAGGTTATACTCAAAATAGTTGCGATCACATTCACATCTATTTCTTCAGCCGCCATCTTGGCATGATGTGGATGTCAATTCAGTTAGACACATGGTTCACTGGATTGGCATCCAGTTAAATATAAAGTTCAGAAGTTGTCAATTCAGTTAGATAAATAGTTCAGTGGATGTTGGTCCAGTTAAATATATAGTTCGGTGGTTGTCCATCCAGTTAGATATATAGTTCCGTGCTTGGTAGCCAAGCCTTGAAGTATCAAGGAAACGAGATCGCTTCGTGTAGTGTGAACGCACGCAAAAATGAAAAAATTGTTCGCCACAAGATAGATCTCTGATCGATCTTGCCAGATCGATCTTTTAGTGAGCTAAGTGTGACCAGGCCACACACAATGCGAATATTAGTATAAATTATCTAGCAACATTAGATATCGGCCAAGCGAGCTAGCTCAGGCACCCGAGCTGGCTTGCCTCCATATAAACACCCCATTAGGTCAAGTACTGTAACTTCAGAGCAACTAAAAGGCATTTAAACTGTTATGTGCTTTGATCAAATTAAAATCTACTTTAACGTTGATCAGAGAAACTTTTTGATGTGTTTCTATTATAAGTTTTAAGTGAGCACAAGTTGTCCATGAGCAGACAGTCAAATACATTAAAGCACTGCCACAGCCAAGTAGATTATCACTCTGACAAGTGACAATAACACGTCTAAATAAACAGCCATCCAAAAGTCCCAAACATGTTCGCTCCAAATTGTTCATTATTTTTTCATCGACAACTCACTAGTCTCGAGTATCATATCTTCAGGCCTTTATAATTATATTATGGGTTTCAGTTTGTAAATAAAATAGATAAACAGTTCGTATATATTAACTTTATAGTCATTAAGTGGCTGTCTCACTAAGAACCATGCAGAGCGTTTCAGGTTGAAAATTAGATTTCCTTTATATTTTTACCATGAACTACCTTTGTCCTAAAAGGTATTAAACTAATATTAGAATTTCTAAATTTTTCTTATTTTTTGAGTTATGACAAATTTTTGTCTGGACGTCAGCGACACTGAAATTTGACCCCGAAAACAGCGGTAAAATGTGTGTTAAATTGTGCATCATAACTCAGGAAGTTTCGCGTCAAATTAAAAACTTTTTTCAGCGTATTGAGACATATTCTTCTTCTTTTAGAATGTTGAAAGTATTTGAATGTACATCTTATTTTAAGCCTACTAGTCTCCATCCAAGGATGTCGGTATTTTCATTCGCCGAACAACATATGATTAGGTACAAAATTCAAACTAAAAATTCTCAAAAGTGCAACCTACCTGGTGTCTAAAACACTTTTAGGGTTAAAGTAGAATACTTAAAGTTATGTTATTCGCAATAAAACTTGTCGGCAAAAGGAATATGAAGGAGTGCAAAATTCATAAATTATGGCTATAAATAGCTCTATTGTTTACCTTTGTCATATGCCTTTGTGATAACCGGAAACACGTTCAAGGTTGCTCGCGGAGTTTTTATAGTGACTAATATATTGCACAATCATTGTATTTAACTCAGAAAAGTTTAATTCGATCGATGAAATGCGACGGATCTTTGAGGTCTAAAACGGTCAGAAGAAATAAATTCGTCTAGGACGTTGTATCCCTCATGATCGGACAATGTCAATGTCGTAAATGTGTGTTGCCGTAATTAACGTCGCATCGAATTAATAAATTGAATCCATGAAGTTATTATATTCTGTTAAAAGTTTTCCGCATTGCCCATTTGTGAGAATTTTTGTCCTTTCATGCAAACCATTCAATTCATCTTATAAAACGATCTTAGTTGCATTGACATTGACTAGCTGCGACGTATACTGAGATCTGTCCTTTATTTTTAATCTATACAGCAATAATAATTTTTTCAGTAGTTTGCAGCTAATCGCCATTCTGTGAATAACTTTCAACTTCAATTGGTATTTTTCAGCAAAAGTTGATTTGTCTCATAATAATAGTATAAATTATACCAATAAAAAATACATAACATCGTAGTTTGCATGCGGTGTTTTTTATAGTGCTTAATTTGGGTTAGAACAATGACATCTCTCGACATGTCCAAGTTAGTCTGGGAGTATTTGTCCGCACCTGCACAGTTTAGTTATTTATGTGGAAACATGTGCATTGCCCAATCATGGATGGTATTTTATCTATGAGAGTCTGTATTTTATCCTTTGATTTGAACTGAAGTTCAAAATGCACACAAATTTCTTTCAGCATCGTTATTTTAAAAACAGATGGGCTCTTCTGTTTGTACATGTGATATAAATCATACGCGTCATGGTATATAAGATGGCATACGTCGATCTCAGCAAGCATTAATTTTCCACAAGTTGTCCACAAGCATTTCTCTTTGTGCTTTCGCCTCAAAATGAAGAACACGTAAACTTACGCATTCTCCTTCATGAAGAACACGTAAACTTACTCTAGTTATCTGCAGTTTCCCTCCGCGTCATTAAAGTACTAATTACAACACGTAAAGAAGTAAAAGTAGCGTAATACTTGCGAGATCCCATTTGAATTAATTTCCCATAAAGAGTAAAAACAGTTTTTGATAATGACAAATTGGAAACATCTCTTCCCTGTACAATTTCGAACAGGAACCGATTGGAGGGAATACTAGCACGGTCTTAGCGGCAGGGCATTTTTTAAGAATTCGTCAGTGGGGGGGCCATCTACAAAAAGGGACCATACTATACCAAGTGTGGAGCAATGATAGATGGTTTGTTGGTAACAAAAAGTTTGGTGTGGTATCGCATTTAATAGTAGGGGGGAGTAGGGCCGTAGGAAGCTCTTTTCGTTTGGGGGGGGCTGAAAGCGAGGGCCGAAGGCCCGAGGAAATTTTTAAATTTAGAGTCTTTGAAATGCCATTTCCTGGACTTTGGGGAAAATTTGGTGGATTTCTGATTGTCAGAAAACAGTGTTTTTAGTATGTGGAAATTTAGAATTCAGTAGTACTAAATGGACGAAGGTGTATTTAATTAACGATATATTGGATAAGTTGCAGGAAAGTATGGGTAATATCTTCATTCTTTGCAGTTTGTCATGGATTAAATAATAAAGGTCTGCATGATTTTGAAAAATGAATGATTATTAGCAAATTATTGGGGGGCTGCAGCCCCCCAGCCCCCCCCCCCCCCCGCGGTTGCTACGGCCCTGGAGAGGGTCTGGGGCTTTCTCCCCCAGAAAATTTTTGTATTTTTCTACCCCTATGACTGCAATTCCCTGCATTTTCTGAAACAGATTTTTGGATATACAGCATTACATTATGCTGTAGATAGACTGAACCTTCAGTTAAGTACTTGCATAGTATGTTTTATATGTAGATACCACAACTTGGCCGTCACTTAGGGAGCCAGCTTGATAAACTTAAGAGTTCCCGACTCCCACGAAGCGCCACCATGGTTGGCACAGAACGGAAATATTTTGAAAATTTTGCGTCTCTAAATCATCGGAAATGGCATTTTCAAAGTCTTCTATACGTCTTTTGTTTGGCCCTTTCATTAATTCGTTCATTATGATTTGTAAGTCTATGATATCCGCGAGTCAGGATGGATTATTACGAGAAATGTTATCAAAATATCGATTACAGATATTTGATTATATGTATATATGATTTCAAATACTTCTAGTTTCGAAATCAAATTGGTTTTTTTTTGTGGGGGCCAAAATTACCCCCCCCCCTTATAAAACACTTGGTTGAGGGCCTGTTGTCCCCTGCGGTCACTAACTTATCCAACAACTCAAATCTATAGGGTCTGGGAAATGCAATCCACTGCCTGGGAAATGTTTAAAATCTAATAAGGTATTTATTAAACATAAAAGACAGGACATAAGATTCACAAAGCAAATTTCAGTTACTAGAATATCAAACCTCCCTTCTAAATTCCATGTTTTGCTTATATTTTAGAGAAAAGGGACTTTGACTGGCCAAATGGTTGAGTGGGGGGGCCACCATGGGGGCTGGGGGGGCTTTGCCCCCCCCCCAGTTATATAGTTAAAAAATGCCCTGCTTAGCGGCCTCCAAGATCGTCCCAAATTGTGACGGTGGGACGGACAAATAAACATCATCTTAAATTGGTCTTCGGTAAGATTGAACATTACCGCGCGAATAGCAATTAACTCGTTTCCTCTCAAGTTTGATTTAGAAAGATGACAGTTTGATAGTTGAACACTCTTATCTTCCTTACAATCAAATAAGCAACTAATGTCCTGTAATCCACGACTTTCACCACAAGAAATTCCACCAACGCCAACAAATGAACAACTTTTCTCCATAATCAAAACTAAACTAGTAAGCTTCTAGAAATATCTAAAAACGGCACTTCTTTACGTTAATTTTCTGTTAAACAAAACAGGTGTGGAAATTACAAAGGAACACTGTCATTGATATTATTTAAGAGGTAAGTTATACTCCAATAATTAGTTTTAACAATGGCACATTGAAGAACAAGAACAGCTTGTATACATTGCGTCTGCCATTATTTTCTGCTATTATTTTCGTGGTTTTTTATTATTATTTTATAAATTAGAGAAACTTAAACTGAATTGGCTACCAACGTAATCCCCTTGGCATACAGACTACAGTAAGGCCACATAAAATAAGTCCTTGATTCTCATCACCGCCCGTCTGTATATTAAGAGCCGCGTGAAATTTTTTTATATTTTGTTATACAATATAAATGAACCGCCCGAAAAATATTTCAAGACAGTTCAGTTTTTTATATTTAAAATTGGGTTTTTAGTGCCATTTTAAACTGCCAATTTCAAACAAATAGAACCTTGAAAGAAATTTCATTGCATTTTAACGGAACTTCGCATTCAGTTCAAGGGTTCAGTCATTGTTCGTGGAGAAATATGTTCATTTTGGTTTGTGACATTTCACTTTGGAAATCACAGAAATATTAAATGTTAGGAATTATTTTTTTATTTATTGATGATAAATTATATAAATATAAAATATAAACCTCCTGGCTCTTCGACATTTTCAAAGTCTAGTGATGAGAATCAAGGAATTTATTTTATGTG